ATCTTTTTGCTCCAATGACCCTAATTCATCATTCCTGCAACAAAACATCAAAAATACCTTTCTTTAAAGTGCAATATCATTAAAAATAGTATAAAATATGTATGAAAATCTCAACATATTTTCCTCTGGTCACAGGGGCATCTACATCTCGCTCTGCTTCACTTGAAAATATTATGGAGCTGAATATGATTCAACAAATGGATATAGTTAATATGCATAATTAGATTGGAGAAATTGGAGCAAGAAATGCTTATAATGATGAGTCTAAGCAGATGAAAGTTCAACATGATATAGCTTTTGAGAAAGTTATGGCTAGATATCTTATGGGTGAATACAATGTGGAATTTTCAACTTGCCCTAGCTTCACTTCTTATGCTCCTATTCATGATGATGAAGAAGGAGATGAATGAAGAAGATGATGATGATGGGAAAGGTGACAAGGACTGAAATTCTTAGGAGTTTAGTTTGCTTTGTTTTATTTATTTGTTATTTTTGTTATTATGTTGTTATTTGATGTCATTTGAAACAGTTGTGTTAAAAATTTCATTTTGTGTTGTGGACCTAAATTGTAATAGTAACAGTAGATTTTTAATTTTTCTGTATTTTTAGTATTTTCAGTTTTTTGTTTCTTTTTTTAGTTTTCAACAAATACTTTAAAATATATTATGTTTCATTTAATGCTTTAAAACATGTATGTATTTTTAAAGTTAGTACATGTAGTATAACAGAACCCAATTTCATACTCAGAAATACTCTACAGGTTAGTTTTTATTTTTATGCATTTACTATTTTCTTTCACCTACTACATTTTGTACTGAAACATTTTTAAATCACTTAAAAACTTAAGTTTGGGGGAAAGAAAATTTCTCTTAGAAAGAAGTAAACTAAATCTTATTTGTCCTCAGTTAAGTATAGTTTTAAAATTATTTAACATGACCTGAGATATTAAGATTTAACTTTAAATGACTATACTTATATTTATGAATATTATGATAAATTTAGGTAAAAGTTTTTAATAATGAATGTTAATTTTTAAGTTAAAGATATTTGATATGAAAAGATAAGACTATGTTTTTTTTTATTTAAAGTAAAGGAAGTTGTATTTTTGAAGTATTAAGAATTTTAGAGTTTCATGTAAGAAGAAAAGAATGAAAATTTATGAAAAATTATAAACTGATATGAATTTATAAAGTGAAGAAAGGTAATGAGTTTTGGCTCTAAGAAGGGGAAAGTGAAGTTCAAAATTAATAAAAGCTATTCAGATATAATAATCCTCACTTGAAAAAGAAAATGAAAAGAAAAGATTGAAAAGATCCTAAAAGAAGAAAAAAAAAGAAGAAAAGAAAAATGAGTGAGGAGAAGCTTGAGGAGACGCCTAATCAAAAATTGACTTCATTTGAATCAACTTAAGAAAAAAACTTTATTACATTTTCTAAACTTGTATTGAAGTATTAGTAGCATTACTAGTAAAGTTTTCTTTGAGTTCTTTTTCATATAAATGTTTTAAGTATCTTTAATATGACAAATTGCAATTTTTCTTAAAATGAATAGAGATTCGGAAATCTTAAATTTTATTACTAAGTACTCTTAGACTTAGAGTTTGAATCTAAGTTATTAAAGGTTTTTCTTAAATATTACTATTTTATTTATTAAACCAAAGTATAGGAGTTATAAGTTAACCTCTATCCTAAGCCATATATCTTTTGTAGTGAAATTGTCACTTGAGGGCAAGTAACATTTAAGTTTGAGGGATTTTGATACACCAAAATAATATATTATTTTAAGTATACATTTTATGTTTATATTTGGTGATATTACACTTTAATAAAGAATATTTTCATGTTTTTGTTGCTGGTATATCAATTTTAGGCATTTGGAGCAAAAGTAGCAAAAAAGATGAAATTTGGAGCAAAAACAACGAATTTTGAGAATTCTGGAGCAAGATTGGAGCCAGAAGCGCCATTTTACAGATAGTTGGCGCAAGATGCGCCAGATTGGTGCCAAAAGTGCCATTTGACAGAGAGCTGGAGCCAGATGCACCAAATTTGGCGCCTGAAGCACCAAAACCCAGAATAACGCAATCTTAAGCAAGTTGGCGCCAGATGCGCCAGAACCAGCGCCAAAGATGAATTTTTGTGGATTAAGACAGTTCGAGATGAATTTTGCTCGAATTTTGAAAGTGACATTTATTCTAAACACCCATTGGAGCGATTTAATGCATCTGGACACTTTGGAAGGTTCTTTTATGAAGGGATATGTCTCTTGGATCAATGGACATCTCTTTTGAATTCGAAAGGGTTGACTTTTAGAGAGAATTTGGAGGGAATTTTGAGTTCTTTTTAGAGGGAGGTAGCCTTTAATAAAAAAGAGGTTTTGTGAAGAAAAGTGTGTGGTGTGTAGGGGGGGAATGAGAAAGAGAGAGAGAGAAAGTCAAGGGCTTGGAGACTTTCTTCAAGGATTATAAGAGAAGAGGGAATGTGAGAGATTTCTTCTTCATTACACTTCTAAAAGAGAATTGAGACTGCTTGTAAGGAGAGAAAGACTTGAAGAGAACTTTTAGGGATTTGCTTGGGAAGGATTGTGAGATAAGTTGTGTTTTTTATTTCTTTTGTTTTGTAAACTTATTTTTATATATGGAATCTGTGTTTTGTCGTATCATTCTCATGAATTCTGAGTAGTCTTCTTTATCCTTTTTCCTACTTTGAGATATGGTTTAGTGAAGAATTGATTTTGTTTTATACAGTTTTAAATGTCAATAATTTGTGATGATTTGAATTCCGATCTTTTTGAATGTCAATAATTTGTGATGATTTGAACTACGATCTTCATTTACTTTTCGATCTAGCAAATTGAATTGTTAAAATATGTTGAGAAATATATGTTTCGAAAGGGCTATGATTTCTACAACATTGTGAGAATCATATTTGATTTCATGGGAGAGGATGTCATCCATGGAGTTGAGTGCAAATAAATAAGAAAATATACTTTGTTGGACGCAAAATTAGAGATTTTAAGGTAACAGATTAAAATCCACAATTTGGTCCAGTTGATTGGAAACTGATGCGAGATTGTTAGCCCTCGGATGAGAGAGTAGTGAGAGCCCTAGAGTGGCAACCGATATCCTCCCAGCCTAACCACATAATTACCATGGGAGAGAATTTCATCCATGGGGTTGAGTGCAAATAAATAGGGGAATATACTTTGTTGGATGCAAAATTGGAGATTTTGAAGTGACAGATTAAAATTATCAATTTTGTCTAGTTGATTAGAAACTAATGTGTGATTGTTAGCCTTTATGTGAGGGAGTGTTGGCAGCTCTGGAGTGGCAGTCAGTATCCTCGCAGCCTAACCAAGAAATTAAGGATCAAATCCTGAATTAGTCAAAGTTTTTTATGCACTTGAAAGAGGGTAAAGAATAGGATTGCTCCTATTTGACACAAAATAATATATATATATATATATTAAAATGATTTTAATTTCTTCAGAATTCATATACTCATTGTAAAGGGGAATGATGTTTTAACTTTGTCTTTTTGCTGCATTTTATTTAATATTCACTCTATTACTTTATATTCAAATTTAGCACTCCACTTTTGTAGTTTAAAATTGTAGTTTACATTATAATCTTAAGAATTTACTCATAGGCATTTTCAACTTCTCTGTGGGATCAATATATAGGACTCCATTAAAGTTCTTTATTACTTGAGCGATACATATACTTGCGTTATTTTGGGGGGCTTTGACACTTTAAAGATTTTTAAAAGATACAACTATTTTCATTTAAGTTATTTTTGTTGAGATTAATTTGCATATTTACTATTGTATCTGCCGTGTGTATTTTGTAATATTGAAAAATATTTGCAAAATTAACACACTAAATCCACACAAATCAATCACATAGGGGAGGGCTATAAGCAATTTACCACAATGACTGGTTTCTTAATTTTTGACTTACCAACTACTTACAATTCCTTTTTCAATTTTCCTGTCAACTCCTTGAAAAAGGTGAAGTGGGTCTGGCTACCCAGCTTCCTAAGATACGAGGTAATTAGGAAACTAAATATGTATAAACAGAAGTGACTACTCAAATCAGTAAGTAACGATTAGCTCTCCCCATCCTTCAACCCAGACCAACCGGACAAAGCGAGTCTAGGAAGCGGATGATGAAAAGGTCAGCTTGGAGCATCATACAATCGAAACAAGTACTCATGGGGCGAATACGAAGAGCTGAGTATGGAGGCTGAGTATGAGAATCACTTTAGATAGAAACCCTCTCCTAATTCACAAAGTAGTCAACTGAAAAAGGATATGTCCAAGGCCACAGCTTTGGTAGGATAATGACCAACAAAACAATCATATAATTCTAGAGATCTAGGAATTGTATAGGACTAAATGTTTTATTTTATAAAAGCCAACCCCTATAAATAGGGGGTATTAAATATAAACCAGGATCTAAATTTTCTGCTTACAAGGAGCTAAGGAAAAATCTCCTCCAATCCTCATCTGTTACTGAGCCATTCTTTAACTCAGCTAAGTTGATCTCTCTCTCTCTCTCTCTCTCTCTTCTTGTTATCCCTCCTTCCTAACCCTCTATTTCTTGGGTGCGAATCAAGGAAAAATTTGGGTTAAGCTTGCTTTTTCAGAAAATTTTTTTATAACATAATAGTGGCTGTTATATGTTAGAAGCAGTAACTGAATCACAAATAAAAGGCTATTGTAGTTAATTACTTTATTTTTTGTTGTTTAATATCAACAGCTCTTGAATATATGCCATTCTATTAAATTCTAGGAGCCGGAATCTGAATTTAGTTGCTATGTGAGAACATGTTTGTGACAACTGAAATTTATTTCCCTTTTTAATTTTTTGTTGCCTTGAATATACATAAGCAATAAGTCTATGTTTTATAGATATAGATCAATTTTCTTCACTGTTTCTAAAGAAAAAATAAATTTTGTAGTAATTATTTTGTTAATTTGATATTGGTTTAGCGGTTGAGCATTCTTGCCAATTAGTTGATTAGCATGTATACTATTTGTCATTTGTTTTGGAAGTTCTAAGGTTTCTCAATTAATCATTTATTTATCTGTGATCTTGGCTGGTGTATCTAGCATTTGTGGTCACGTGTAGTTCTCAACATCACCCCTACTAGAGATCTGGATCGATCTCATGGACATAAATCGAAAAAACTCTCATATTTCAGAGATTTTCAGAGCCTTCATTTTGTCTGGGGCTTACACTACATATTTACTAAAATTACAGAGCAATAATTGTTGGGAAGATATTTAAAGATGTTTGTGCAGCATTAAGTCTCATTACTGAGCTCTTTTTCACAATCTCGTGCATATCATTTGTACTGAAAACAGAAATGTTCTCAACATAAACGGAAACTTTCCTTACCTTTCAAAATTTTTATTTTTATTTTTTAATATCTAGTTCAGCGTTCCAAAAAGAATGAAGGACCATGTGATCTATTTATCGAATTGACCAAAATTGATTAGGACAACTGCAAAAAGCAGACAAATGATTCTTCAGTAATGACATGCTGCTGTTGCTGTAACGTGCAGTTTAGTTTTCCTTGAGCTTTTATCAGTTTCATAGCATGTTCACCTCTGCAAATAAAACTTAGCATCAGCAAGTAAACCAAGTATCGCCAAATGATTCCCCCAGGAAAGAAATTTTTAGACAAACAAGTTATCCACATAGTCCATTGACGTATAAGTTGTGCATTCAACATTTAGAAGCAAAACCAATATCCTCTGCCACAGCTAACAATCGTTACACAGCTTTTTAGAACTTCTTTTAGGAAAGAAACTGAAAACCAAATAATTGATAAGTCAGTTATTAATCTGCAGCCACTCATCTAAGCTGCACCAACATTTCTATTCATTTGCTTTTCATTCCAAAACATAACTGTAATCCCCAGATTACAATTATTAATGGAGGAAACTTTAAACTCTAGATGCTCTCTGTGAAATCTTAGCTGAAATAGAAAGAAACTGTCACATGCGAATCCTGCATAGAAATTTTTAGCTCAATCAATCGAGCATTTATCTTTTAATACATATAGCTTACAAAAAAGTCTTACAATTACAAATAACAATAAATCTAGCTCTTCGAGCATTAATCTCTTCTAATCCTATTAATATGTCGCACTATTTACAGTACCTAAGAAAAAAAAAAATCGCTTTTTGATAATCATTTCGACATTTTTTTTTGGTGCGTAGAAGTCCACGGAGCATTAACATCCTCTAACGCTTATTTACAATCTTTTTTTTTTTTTTGGAAAACTTTGTGCAGCAAAAATGATATAAATAAAAGTTCTATTAATTAGCAAATGACGCATGCGTTTGGGTTCTCCTCTGCGCTATGGACGACATAATGCGTCGTCATATAGGGATTGTAGGCTTGGTAGGCTCTTACCAACTCTGCTATTTGTTCGTTCGGATCCTTTTTCTTCTCCGCGCCTCCACCGCCGCCGCCGCCGCCGCCCCCCTCCTTTGCGCCCCCACCACCGCCGACGCCTCCGCCCACTTCACACCTTAGCTTCGTGACCACATCGATGGGGTCCACAGCCCCCACCACTGTAAGCTTCATCTCCTTCATATCCATCGCGATTGAATCGATCCCTGCAATCCTTCAAGGCTATCAAGGCTTTCAATGGGGGCATGGGAGGAGAGAGAGATAGAGGGAGAGAGAGATAGTTCAAGGCTTTCAATGGGGGAAAGAAAGAGATGGGAGGAGAGAGAGATAGAGGGAGAGAGAGATAGAGGGAGAGTTACCTGTCAGCGAGGTTACCGTCTTCAAAGCCTTGCGCTTGTCTTTGTCATCGTGTAGATCCAGCCTCACTACAATTTTCTGCAAGCGTGAATAAAAAAGGCGTTAGCTTTGTTAGAAATTGCATGTTCAGATTGGCAGATAAACCGAAAGCACAAATTTTGATCATGAATATGTGTTCTCTGATTCATCTAGACTGCCTTTTGGAGAAAAAAATCCTATTTTTTCTTCATGACAAAGCAGGGAAGATAGGAATACCGGGAAAGAAAGTTGCAATAAAACAAAGAAAAAAAATCAAAATTGGACTTTTAAAACTAACCTTCATTGCTTTTGATTCCGGGAGAAAGACAGACAAGAGAGAGAGAGAAAGAGAGAGAGAGAGAGAGAGAGAGAGAGAGAGAGAGAAAACTACTGAGTTGTGGAGAAGACTGGAAGGAGGTTGAGAGATTTAAACAGAGGTTGACGTTGGTGATGAAGGTGAGAATTGATATCGGAGGGGACGGAGAAAGCCGTGGGCAGCACGAGTTGATGAGCGACCAAGTCTTCGGAAGGTGATGACAAGTCAACTAGGGTGGGGTGTGGGAACCAGCAAGCTGTGACCTCGTTTCTCTCTCTACAAAACTTGGATCCGAAGATACTAGAATTAGGCACGATGACAAAAGTTTTTGGGTGTTTATCGCGTGTCACTATCTATGATCCTCTATGTATGGCCTCGTTATAAGAAAACAATAACAAAAATAATCTGGTTTTGAAGTTTTACGTTCCTGCCTTTTTGGACTGGTGACCGCCGCCGCGCTTCGGCCAGAGAAATCCCTCCTTTTGAACCCACCCACCCACTCGGGCTCAGGGAAAAATTATTGTGTCTAAACTAAAACAGGACAGAGCAACCGACGTGATAAAACAGGACAGAGCTGGAGCTCGACGCAGCTCGTGTCGTGTTCGGACTCCGGACGTATTATTTTCTCTATTTGAGAATAGTAATTCTTAGTAGCGGTGAATAGAGATGTAAATCAATAATATTTTGATAATATTATGATGATGTAAACGTTATGAAATCCGCTTCTAATCAGATCCATCTCATTCACAGATAATATTTTTACCCATTTGAGAGCTGAGTTGCAAAAGTTTTGGAGCATCGCTGAGAACCACTTGCGCCGGCTTCCATGCCTCGGCCGGCGCTTCAGCTGCTTTGCTGTTGCTTGAGGTCTGTAGATCGGTTCAATCTGGTGGTTTGTGAGACCAGCTCCACAACCGCGTGCACAAAAAACAAACATTTGTGGCAGCACTTTTCTGAATAGATATTTTGATTGCTGAAAGTTGAATATGTGTATGTGCAGGAAATTTGACCGTATTTAATTAGCCAAATATTCCGGTTGTTCCTAATATTAAACTTTCAAGCACATTTCTAAAGAATATCATTGTACTGTTACTTGGTCAGATATGAGTAATAGGAGGCATATAAAGTCATATTCTATTGGGAATATGTGAAATCATTTATTCATAACATTTGGGTAATTTAGTTTGAAAAAATTAGACTTGTTGCCGTGGAGGAACCAATTCATTTTTTAGGATAGGAAAAGTTTTAAATAATTAAATAATATAAAAATTAAATTATAAAACTAATATTCATTAAATATATAGAATACATGCAAGTAAATTTTTTAGAGGAAAATACAAATAATTTGTAAGTTAATACTTCTAAAATTAACCGTTGCAAAGTAAGTAAATACAACTAATTTTTTTCGAATTGTTTTTCCATTAGCATTTTTTCATTGTACTTTCATGGTCTATGTTGTTGGTTAACCTATGAACGTCATTTACTCCTAGTTTGGCCAACTAAGATGCTAAAATATTTCATGAAACTACACCATTTAACCGTTGCATAGTGGAAACAAAAGGTTAACCACAAAATTTTGAGATGATAGACAAATTCCAATGAAATTTTGCAATCATTCCAGGGGATTAGAACATTTATGTGGAATTTCACATTGATTGAGGATGTCACAAATTCATGGATTCTAGGCTTCTTTTTACCTAGACATAGGTATAAAGGATAATATATCCTCGATTGACAACAATTACGTAGGAAAATATTTAAGAAAGCCATGACCACCACAATCCCTGAATCACAGAAGCACAAGCCTCATCATCCTTAAGGAAACTCACTTTATCTTTCTCACTGTTTTTGTTTTATGTTGCCTGCAATTTACGCGGTTATTGTTAGAATCTTAGGACTTTAATCTCCTTCGCAATTATGCCAAGCTAGGTTGACTAAATTAGTAAACTAGAGTTTTTTCTGTAGAAATAATTGTCAATAATTTCATTGTGGGATCAATACACAGACTCTTAAACCGCATACTATTTGACACGTGCACTTATATGGTACGACCAACTTACTTTGTTTTAAGTTTTGGCGCGTCAGAGGACCATGTCAAGAGAGGTATTTCTTAGAAGAAATTACCTATCATAAAGAATCATTTAAGGAAAATGTCATATCCTCCATAAATGCTTGACATTATTTAAATCTTCTCTAATTAGCTTGATTCATGTTCTCAAGATAATAATCGCAAGTAACATAAATAATAGGAGAATATAATAAAAATAAAAGGCAGGTTCACCTAACTTTGAGTCACACATAGACTAACAAGAATGAAATGAGAAAATAAAAGTTTGACAATTAAGTTATAGTTTGTAAGAATATTTATATAAAGGCAAGCTATCCCTTTATTACCGCAAAATATTAAAATATGATCTTGTAGTACACCTATCTAAATGGCTCTAGTCTCAACCAATCACTACAATATATATTGTACTCTATCCAAGACAATATGAAATACAACATAATTCAAAGAATGACAACGAATTTAGCTTTTAACTCTTTAACATTTTGGAGACTGATACCTAAAGTTCCATTTGACAAAGAGCCTAACTTTTCTTCCAAAAAGGGAAAGTCGCTCTTTCCCCCTTTAATATTCGTAGTTGTTCATTAAGAACTCACATATGCTTCTTCAGAGCGTGTTGCAATCCATTCAACTCTACAAATTTGACCATGTATCACTCTGATAATGGTAGGGTATAATTACAAGATATGTTTAAAGAAGTTTTTGGCGATTCAATCTCCATGCTCTAGTTAGTTTCCGTTGATAAGACGATCAAACAAATGAACTTAGTAACTAAGTTTTTTTTCATTGCCTTCAAGCTATTACACCTATGCTGCTTCTATAATTAGGAGAAATATCGGGATGAGAAAACTCTATTTTTAAAATACTACTAAGGGGCATCTCCACCAGTTGCACGAACAAATCCTTCATCCAATGACATAAGTTTATTCATTAATGTGTAGAGAGTTCAAACTAGAGTCAATACTAAAGCAATATAGGGGTGTTATTTACAGTTCCATGAGTGAAATATCAATAGTAAATACTATTATTTTCTTTTTAATAAATTAAAATAGAAAATAAATGTCTCATTTATTTTTTTTTAATATTTTTTATTGAGAGTCTTTAAAGGAGCAAGAGAATTGAAGAATTAAATGTACACTTATAAATCTGAATTTAAAGATGACAACATGATACATACCCAAGCTAAAGAACCTCTTGGCTGGTTTAGAGGTGACTCACCTAGCTTAGGAAATTCATCCTACTCGGCGGATTCATCCATGTCAATAAGACTCACCCAACACAAACACGCTCATCATTGCTTGAAGTAAGTTTTCCAAACGTATGAAGAGCGTAGCTAAAATCATAGAAGAAACTCTATTCATCTCATTTGATCAAAACAGACATCCCAACTTATCCTTTAAGCAACCCCCCTTATTTGTGATCTGTAGAAGCCTCCAAAGCTCTTGACTAACAACCATTCACGAGTAGCCTTGGGTCTTAATTATTGTTTCTATGTGTCTGTAATGATCTAATCATATATTTATTTAGTTATTTTTCTTATATAGTTTTTCCTTATAGCACACAACTTCATATATAAGGAATCAAAAGTGAGCACCTAGGAAAAAGACATTCATAGCATCTTGAGCTTTAAGCTATGATGAATAAAATTACTAGAGCATCCATCTAAGCATTCCTTCTCTCATTCCATTCTCTCATCTGCTCTTAACCTCACTTGTTAATGAGAGATTCAGCTATCATCCACAAATAAATATGGATCCCATAAATTTGCTCAATTTTGTATTACTTAAAACAATATTTAAGATACAAAAAAAAAATTATGTAATTAGACTTTTATAATAATGTTCATGCAGTGTAATTGTGCTTTATGTAATTAGACTTCTACGACATAGTAGTTGAGGGTATAGTTTCCTATTGTGAAGTCATGGATTCGAGTTCACATATTGCTCTTTCGGCTCACTTTTTCCAGAAAAAAAATGTCAAGCAAAAGAATTAATGAATTTTATGCACTTCCCAATAGGGGTGTAAACGAGCCGAACACGAGCTGAGCCCTCATTTATATTTCGAGATCAAAAAGTGTGTTCGTGTTCG